ATTGTAGAGATGAGGTCTCACCAAGTTGCACAGGTGGGTCTCGAACCCGTGGGCTCAGGCAATCCACTCACCTCAGCCTCCCAAGGCGTGGGATTACAGGCTGAAGCCACCGAGCCCGGCTCATCTTTGGCTTCTCTAAGTTAAATAACCTAAATTCTCTTGCTTCTTCTTAATATGTTCAATGTTTTTGAAAACCCAAATTCCTACATGCAATATTTTAAAAATCATTATTACATATTTTACAATGATAATTAAGAACAAATATAAAGTCAAAATTACAGCTATGTAAAAATAGCAATGTGAAAGGTATAATACAATTATAAATAATAAATGAAGACCCAGACTGCCATTCATATATTAATTCTACACTTTGGTTCTACTTCAGCATTCTAGAGCACAATAATCCTTACCAGGGGACTTTCCTTGTGAGTTGCTTCTTCGTTCTCTGTATCTGGCTGGAGTGGATAAACCTGTGTCTTTACTAGGCTTGCTAGCAGGCCCCATTTCTGAAATGAGGAATCCCATCTGTTCTGAAGGCAAGATATTCTCAGGTGGATTGGTCTGGCATTTTATATTGGCATCAACCTAAAATATTAAACCCACTTATTATTTTGAAATTTCCTCCATATATATATACTAGAAGTTAGATTTTCATTATTTTTTTTTTTGAGTTAGAGTCTCACTCTTGTTGCCCAGGATGGAGTGCAGCAGCAGCATGCTCACAGCTACCGCAGCCTCCACCTGCTAGACTTAGGCAATCTTCCCGCCTCAGCCTTCCAAGTAGCTGGAACTATAGACGCACGCCACCACGTCCGACTAGTTTTTGTAATTTATTGTAGAGACGAGGTCTCACCAAGTTGCCCAGGCTGGTCTTGAACCCACGGGCTTAGGTAATCCTCTCGCCTCGGCCTCCCGAAGTGCTGGGATTACAGGCTGAGCCACTGAACCCGGCCAGAAGTTAGATATTTTATCAGAAGAGTTCTATTATAGGAACACAATCCAACAAACAAGTTTGTAAGGCTTTTCATCCTTATGAAAGACACTGCGTTTGGTTTTCTCTATTCAGCAAAGATATACATTTTCCTATATATGAACCTCAGATATATATTTACTTAATAAACATTTACTTATAAAATCAGAGAAAAATTTGCCATGAGGCTTGTTTATTTTTGTTTTACTTACAAAAGATATTTTAACAATGATTGGTTAGGACCACAATTTTTTTTTTCACTCTAATATATGTTCCATGAGACTTTCCCTCCTGTTGGCAATATTGGAATGGTCATAGGCATGATCTTGATAGATGGTGTCATTGGGGGGTGGATACTTTAGTCTACATATTTTGCATTCTTTGTCTTAAAGAGTCTCTCAAATTACATATGCTTCAGTCCTTATAAAATCTATTATCTGCCATACAAGTTTCTTTCTTGGAGTTCCTAAATTTTCTTTGGAATGTAAAATTCCTTTGTCAAGGTGGCTGATTTCTGAAATATTTTATTTCTTCATGAACTTATTTTAAAATAAAACCATATAAAACTAGCCGGGCTCGGTGGCACAGCCGGTAATCTCGTGGCTTGGGAGGCTGAGGTGAGTGGATTGCCTGAGCCCATGGGTTCGAGACCCGCCTGAGCAACTTGGTGAGACCTCATCTCTACAATAAATCAAAAAATTAGCTGGGTGTGGTAGCGCATGCCTACTTGGAAGGCTGAGGTGGAAGGATTGCCGGAGTCCAGCAGGTCGAGGCTGCGGTGGCCGGGAGTGGCCACTGTACTCCAGTCTGGGCAACAGAGTGAGACTCCAACTCAAAAAAAAAAAAAAAAAAGAAAATTAAAAGTTAAAATACAGCTGTCAAAATATGTGAAAAAGTTACTGGGTATTTGAATGCAATTTTAAGACATGAAATATTTCAGATATGACTATAAAGGAATAAAGATAAATTTTGTATTCTTTCTACAGGCATATTTAAAACATAATGAATCTATCTTCTGTCTACTGAATTTATAATATTATCTTAACACATAATATGCTGGGTCTCAATAGGCACAAAAAAATAGTAAGTTGACAGAAACTTTAAGACATTTGGATCTCAAATTAGAGCTTAAAAGACTGCAAAAACAAACAAACAAACAAAACTTGCCATAAGTTGTCTTGGGAATCTCTAACAATGAAGAGATTTTTCAGTTCCATTAAAGAAAAAAATCCAAAATGAAAAAAGTACATATATTAGGCTAAGATCAAGAAATCTCAATTTTTAAAAAGTGATTTTAATCTGGTTGACCTTTAATGAACTTCTTTTACTAATTATTCAGAATCAAAGTTTATTCATTTTTTGATCATAAACTATCAGCAATAAAAAAATTTAGTCTCTACCTTTGAAATATGTTCCTCAAACTAAGGTCAGAATTCTGCTTTAGGAATTCAGATATTAGTAATGAAATTTGAACACAGTATGCTCACAATTTAGAGTTCAATGATGCTGTAACAAAGTAAGACCTCCAACTATCTCCTTACCTCTATGCTACAGATGGCTAGGAAAGTTCTCAGAATATCTGTCAAATAGACCATCCCTCTAGGGTACTGGAATTACATAAGCAGGCACACCTAATCTATCCAAATTAGGATTGGAAGCAAAAGCTTAAGAGATGTTTTTAACACGAAAATAACTATTATACCACTATGTTCAATCAGATTGCTACTCTAGAGGTTGACTTCAGACCATACTGTAGTGAGAAGATACCCAGTGGCTAAGGTAACTTCTTTCTGAACATTTTGTGCAGAACCACTGGCATATGATCCTTCTGGAAAGCATAATTAACTGGTATTAAACCCAAATAAAATCTGGAAAATCCTCCACTAGAATAGTCTTCAGCAAGAAGCACTCAGTAATTTAAGCTTTATTAGGATCTTTTTCTTTGTCCCTTACCTGGTGTGTGCTAAATGATAGTCCTTCTTGCACAAATAATACAGAAGATGGAGATGGATTATTACTTAGCTGCTCCTTCAGTTTGACATGAGCTTGTTGAATTGGTGCAGATTCCTGCAGTGGGCTATTTTCAACAGGTGGAGCTGTGTGAATGGTATAAATATACTCAGGTGACTGTGGTAGAGAGCAGGTAATTGCTTGTTCTGTTCCAACCACAAAAGATGTAATATCTGAGCCTACAGGTGTAAGCGTCTCCAACTGGCTAGGCTGACTTGTAGAAGACGGATTACTGTTGTTTGAATTAGTTAGGATATGTTGGCCTCTGTTAGATTGAGACGCTGGGCACTGATTCTCCACAGGCTCCACCTTTACCATCTCCAATTTAGGGGAGGAATGCAACTCATCTACTATCTGAAAGACAGCCTCTAAATTTACTTCTGTCTTTTTATTTTCATCAGTAGTATTGCAGGGCCAATTAGAAGGCAGAAATTCAACTGGATAGGAGGACTGCATTGGAGGATTCTGTGAAAAGAAAAAAGAATACTGTTTGGATAGAAAATTACATATGAGATTAAGGAGAAAAGCAACAACATTTCAGCTGATGAATGCTAAACATAAACAGATTAAACTTAAGGATTAAACTAAGAAAAGCTGAATGCTAATTTTTCAGCAACAGTAGCTTCAAATCTGTTAGCATTTACTTAGCACCTACTATATGTCAACCACTATGCTAAGTTTAATACTAGAATGGATCAATAATTCTCAGGGTTAAACTATAGAAAATCAAAAAGCTACAGGACCCAAGTATTTATTTGCTGATAAAATGTCTATACACAAAATTCTTTCATAAAGGTTGACCAAAACATCACTTGTATCTATCATATAGTGTTTCAGGAATGCAGTAAGGAAATTTTAAAAACAAAATGCTCACAAGTTCACCAATCCTTCTAGAGATTCAGAGGCTCCAACTGATATACTATACCAAATGATGTTGGAGAAAAATGTCTTCTGGTTCCTGAGACTGTTTATTTTTAATATTAAAGCAACAGAGTAAAATAGATGTCACTTTTAGATTTATAACATTAAGATATATTCTCCTATATTAGTGCTCTGCACAGAGTAATCACTCAGTATATGTTTGGTGATAAAGATGTAAAGCTGTGAACATAAAATACAGAAAAGTAATGATAAATAAAGCTTGTAATGAATTGATGTTGCTCAATGAAGGGCTCTGCAGAGTAGGCATTCAATAAATGTTTGTTGATTATCTTCCATCATAAGCATAAAATACAAAAGAGCCATGATTAAATAAAGCATGCAGTGAGTTGATGTTGCTAAACACACTACAAAGATTGTGTCAATTACTTTTAGAAGGCCATTAATGCCAAATAACGTAAATTTAAATGGTATAAGCATTAAGTTACTATAGCCAAGTTTACTGAGTTCTTACTATGTGTCAAGCACATGCAAAGTGCTTTATATACATTACTTCATTTAACCCTCATAAGATCCCTATGAAATGTGATAATCCCATTTCCAAATGATATAACTGAGGTTCGGAGAAACTTCATAATTCACCCAAAGTCACAATGAAAAAATCGATAGAACCAGGTTTCAAGTCTAGGTTTGCCTGACTCAAGAGGTCTTGCTATTAATCATTACAATATACTGGCCATTCATGTACACTCTCACTAGCCACCTACAGTCCAACTAAACAAACTGTATTTATTTCCAAGATAGAATCAGAAATACTTTCCCTTTTTTCCATTTTTAAATTGTATGTGTGCTTATCTCTATTGCATACATTATCTCCTATAATAAGCATGTATTGTCTTTGTAATAAGATATTTTTTAAAGTTATTTATTAAAATGTTCTAAATTATTTATTTAAAACATGAATGTAATCAAGATACATACACTATTAGAGTATCTCCAGTATAATGCAGAGAAGATAGTGCCTGGATCCACAAACAAGAGCATCTAATTGTAGGATAGTGAAGATGAATAAACTGGGATAGCATGCTTGATGATATTGGCCATGATAAATGGCCAAGTCCCCTTAATCTGCTTCTACACTGTTCAAACAACAGTCTGATTAAAATTTGACTTTCCATTTAAATTTTCTTTTTTAAAAATGTTATTTTGAGTACCCTAATGCAACTAGTAAGATATTCTCTTAAGAATAGGAGCTATCTTGGCTAGATGATTACCCAAGGCAAGCACACAACTTCAATCTTTAGTGGTAAAAGCATAAAAATACAAAGAATGAAATCGAATGTTATCCTAGAAAGAATAACATAAAACATTTAAATCAAGGTAATTGTTTCCTAAGAAATAAAGAAAAGATATTTTAAGTACAGGTTGAGCACCCCAATCTGAAAATTCGAAATCCTAAATGCTCCAGAATCTGAAACTTTTTGATCACTGACATGATGCTACAAATTGAAAATTCCATACATAAGTACTTAACACAAACCTTGTTTCATGAGCAAAGTTACTAAAAATATTGTATAAAATTACCTTCAGGCTATGTATCTAAGGTGTACATGAAACATAAATAAATTTTGTGTTTAGACTTGGGTTCCATCCCTAGAATACCTCATTATGTAGATGCAAACATTCTAAAATCTGAAAAAAATCCAAAATCCGAAACACTTACGGTCCCAAGCATTTTGGATAAAGGATATTAAACTGATATGATGTTGACAACATGTAGCCTAAGAATAAAGGGGGTCACCACTTAAGTTTATCATTTTTAACATCATTTTTCTTTTCTCCTCAAAAAACAGTCAAACTATATCATATCATCTTGGAAGAATCTGTCATTGGTGATTGGTGATGTATATACTTTTACAGTTTATCTGTTGTTCATTTAACCACAGAAAAATCTAGAACAGTACTGTTCAAAATAACTTTCAGCAATGATAGAAATACTCTATATCTATGCTATACCATTTGGTAGCCATAAGCTACATGAAACTATTGAGTACTCAAAAAGTGGCTACAATAAATTTTATTTTAGTTTATATAAATTTAAATAACTGTATGAGCCTATTGAGCACTTGAAATGTGGCTAGTGATGCTGGACATGGTGGCTCATGACTGTAATCCCAGCGCTTTGGGAGGCGGAGGCAAGAGGACTGCCTAAGTCCACAAGTTGGAGACCAGCTTGGGCAACATGGCAAGACCTCGTCTCTATAATAAATAAATAAATAAAACTGGCCGGGCATGGTGGTGCGCATCTGTAGTTCCAGCTACTTGGAAGACTGAAGCAGAAGGATCATCTGAACCCATCAGGTCGAGGCTGTGGTGGCCATGAGCATGCCACTAAACTACAGCCTGCATAGGTGACAGAGTGAGACTCTGACTCAAAAAAGAAGAAAAGGAAAGGAAATGTGGTTAGTGTGACTGAGAAATGAATTTTAAAATCTCATTTAATGTTAGTTTAAATAGCCACATGTGGTTAGTGGCTACTGTACTAACCAGTGCTGACCTAGAAGAATCCTCAGAAGTCATTAACAGCCCCTTCATTTTAGAATTGAGAAAACTGAGCTCATTAATCTACAGCTTACTTCTGGCTATTGATTAATGTAAAATTACACTTAGAAATTTGCAAAGTCAATACCTTGCAAATTTTGCACATGAAGCACAGAGCATGTCCACTATTCCAAGAATCTTACCTGGAAGTAGTTGCAATGTGCATAGGAAGAGGCAGTGGGAGTGACACAACTACTCAGAGCATCCATGTGTGTAGAAGGAGAACAGCACTGTAGCACAGCTGGAACAAATTCAAACACAGAAATGCCATCAACCAAAATAAACCTCTGTTGCATTTAAGGAGCTTCCCTCTTTCAACTGGAAAGAACTCCAAATTTGAAGAGCTTCCTTTGTGTGTCTAACAAATGATATTCAGTCCAATTAAGTGCTATTATTTATTGAAAGCAACACAGTAATAAACTAGTTTTTAAAAATTTTTAAAGGGTAATGTCTACCTTTATAAGTGATGATTTTTTAGTTCCTAAATATTTTACTACCTTTCTAATTAAATTATTCTCATAGAAAGTAATTTCATTTTATTGAAAATATTTGAATATACTTGAAATTCAAAAAATTATTTCAATAATTTTAACAGTAACAACCATTTGGAGAGGGGATGTTTTAAAAGAGTAAGATAAATATAAAATATTCTTCCAAATATTCTACCATTAAACAATGTATACAGTAGAAATGCATGTAAAAACGATTTAATCACGCTGGGCTCGGTGGCTCAGCCTGTAATCCCGCGCCTTTGGGAGGCTGAGGTGAGTGGATTGCCTGAGCCTGCAGGTTCGAGACCCGCCTGGGCAGCAAGACCTCATCTCTACAATAAATCAAAAAATCAGCCGGGCATGGTAGCGCATGCCTGTAATTTCGGCTACTCGGAAGGCTGAGGTAGAAGGATCGCCGGAGTCCAGCAGGTCGAGGCTGCGGTGGCCGGGAGCGGCCACTGCACTCCAGTCTGGGCGACAGAGTGAGACTCCAACTCAAAAAAAAAAAAAAAACCCAAAAAACATTTTAATCATTTAGACAAGTGGTTAGGAATGTAGATCCTACAGCCAGATTGCCTGGCTTTGGAGCCTGGCTCTGCCATTTAATAGTTGTAACATATTGAGCATGGCTGACCTCTTTGGGCCTCAACTTCTGCATTCTATTAAACAGGGATAACAGAATCTACCTAATGTGATTGTGAGGAGGGAATGAGCTAACATCCATAAAGAACCTAGAATAGTATTGATAAGATAGTAAGCAATCAATAAATGTTAACTGCTGTTATTTTAACAAAATAAATACATTTTCCAAACTTTTCCTTTATAGTTATGACACCACGAAAAGATCGAACTCCTTGTACTCGGATAGTTACACTTACAGATGCAGTCTTAATAATAGGTTGAGTCTCCTCTTTTCCAGAAAGAGACTCTCCAGTATGAATGAGAATTAGTTATAACATCACAACTTTGGATTAAACAGGGGATGATATATACTGAGCATCTACCATGGTCCAGGCACAATCACAGCTGCTTTACATATATTGTCTTTACAAAAGCTGGTACTGAAAGAGTGAGAGAGCCAGTAATCAAACTCCAAAGGACAAACTCTTTAATATATCACAATACTTCCCTAGGCTTGCTTTCTTCCTGAAATGTAACACTCTACTTTTACTAGAACTCCTTATCTTTATGATAAGGTAGCAATTTTCTCTTTTTATGTCCACATTTTTAGTATTTTGTGTGTGCTAATAAAATTACTAAATAATCTCCTTCCTTAATCTTTGAAAGTAAATTAGCTTAAGGATTGTAAAAAATTAACTAAAATGCCTTCCTATTTCCTCATTTATTGATTTTTAAAATGTCAGAAGTTCACAAAGGTATACTAGAAATAAATATTTTCTTATTATATTATGTGCAATTTATGGCATTAAATTTTGCACACCAAAAGCAAACTTGAAATAATGGACAGAATTCTAGTACATATATAAATCTCAACATTGTTATTTTCTAAATGATCTCATTTTTAACAATTTCAGTGACTAAAATATCCTGCACATTATTAAGATTGCCTCATAAAATTCAAGTTGTTGTCACTTCTAATGTAGGTCGGACACACAGGTTCTTACATTTGATCCTTTGAAGGTATTTCAAATACATAATTTAAATGTTTTGGATTTGTTTGATTGGGTTTTTTTTTGCTTGTTTGTTTTTTTTTTTGAGTTGGAGTCTCACTCTGTCACCCAGACTGGAGTGCAGTGGCTGCTCCCGGCCACCGCAGCCTCGACCTGCTGGGCTCCAGCGATCCTTGCAGCTCAACTTCCAGGCAGCTGGAACTGCAGTCATGCGCTACCACGCCCGGCTAATTTTTTGATTTTATTGTAGAGATGAGGTCTCGAACCCGCGGGCTCAGACAATCCACTCACCTCGGCTTCCCAAAGCGCGGGATTACAGGCTGAGCCACCGAGCCCAGCGGTTTGTTAATTAAAATTTTTTGAATGAATTTTATTTCCCATGGCATTTGAAAGCATAAATATTCAGGGAAATAAATAGAATCAAAATAGCTAAACACCGAGCAGGGGCTGCAGGTTTTGCCTAAATTCTGAAAAAAACAAGTACCTTTTTCCCCCCAGAGTTATAACAGCTAAGGAAAACCTAGCCCCCTAGCATCAGGAAAAAACTTAGAATGTGCAGATTCATTCCATCGGGATAATGAAAAGTAGTTTGCATTAAAAAGTGTTAGCTTTATTTTCCTGATAATTTAATGCTCTGATTCCATTGGTGACACATTTTTAATAGCTGTTAAAATGTACTTTATTTATTTATTTATTTATTTATTTATTGAGTCAGAGTCTCACTCTGTCACCCAGGCTGCAGTTCAGTGGCACGCTCATGGTCACCTCAGCCTCAACCTGCTGGACTCAGGCAATCCTTCCACCTCAGTCTTCCAAGCAGCTGGAACTACAGGCGTGCACCACCATACCTGGCTATAAGATGTACTTTAAAGTAAATCTCTTGGAGAAATAAAGAAACAATAATATACAACAGAGAATATGTTTATTTGTGATAGTTGATTTGGTAACTAAGGAAACAACCAAACAGTAAATGTTTTATAGTGTCCAGTAACAAATAGAATGTAGAAAGGTACCTGTATGAATAAAAAGAGAACTTGAATAGACTAGAATCCAGAAAGATTCCTCAATGGCTATTTCCTTACCAGTGCAGTCCTGCTTTGTATAGTCAACAAAGCAGAACAAAGCAAGGTATTAGTAAGTTTACTGGATATGAAAACATAAGTATAGAAACCCAACTATGTGCTTAGTATATGATAAAATTAATCTACTGTGCTTTATGAAAGCACTAACATTTATAAAATAAACGTCTATTACTATGTCCTAAGACACACTCATTTGCATAAAGACCTTTCAGTGTCTTCCTGAAGGCAATGTTCACTTAAGGTGACAAATTGCATATCATAGAAGAAAAAACTATAAATGAATATAATTCCATTTCAGATAAAAATATAAGAGCTGATGAAATTTTCAAAAAATTTCTAAGTAATAAAAAAAGTTTAAGCCAGAATTACTAAAAATTTTCACTCCCACTATAAGTAAGGCAAACATGTTCATATGCTTTATCCTGTGGAGGGAATTCAAATATAGAGTTAAAATGTTTTAGATGTAAATCTATTCCATAATAGTAGTGTCAACTGAGAGGATATGTCCAATAATATAAATGCTCAAAAGGAGAAACATCAGAATAGCAAATTTAATTTCAAGATAAGTTATTATCGCAATTATAACCCCAGAATCTCCTCATTTATGGTAAAGAAAAGGTCTTTTGGGTATATACACAAAAGAAATGCAAGTAGGTATTTGGAAAGGTATTTGTACACCCATGTTGACTGTAGCAATACTCATAACAGCCAAAAGGTGGAAGCAACCCAGTGTCGGTCAATAGATGAATGGATAAACAAAATGTGGTACATACATACAAAGGAATATGATTAAGCCTTGGAAAGAAAATTTTGACACACACTATGATATTAATGAACCTTGACAACATTAAGCTAAGTAAAATAAGTCAGTCACAAAAGGACAAATATTGCATGATTTCTCATATGAGGTTCCTAGAATAGTCAAATTCATAGAAACTGAAAGTTGATTAGAGATTACCAGGGGTTGGAGGCAGGGGGAATGGGAAGTTAGTGCTTAATGTGTAGAGCTTCATTTGGTGATGAAAAGTTTGGGAAATAGTGGGTGATGGTTTCCCAATATCATGAATGTAATTAGTGTCAACGAACTGTACATTTTTAAGTGGCTAAAATGGTAGATTTACATAACAAATATTGTATGATTCTGCTTGCATGAAGTATTTAGAGTAGTCAAATTCATACAGACAGAAAGTAGAATGGTGGTTGTCAGGGGCAACCTCTCAACCACAGGAAAGAATGGGGAGTTAGTGGTTAACAGGTAGTTTCAGTTGGGGAAGATGAAAAGTTCTGGAGATGGACAGCAGTGATGGTGAATGTACTTAATGCCATAAAACAGTACACTTAAAAACAGTTAAAATAGTTACATTTTGTGTCATATATATTTTACTACAATTCTTTAAAAAGGTAAAGATGACTGTGCTTCTGCCAATTTATTCTGGCAGGTAAAGAGAGCTTCCTGGTGCCAAGCCTCTCTTTTCATAAGCACAAAATTAGGTCTTTTCAGAAAAATTAACAATACAGGTTACTTGAACACAAGAGTAACAACACCAAAAAGGTCTTATAATTCCATATTCTATATTTGTTAATGTACATTTATGTAGGATTAGGAGTCTAAAGATCAAACGTTTAGCATTTAAATGTACTTTAAAAACAATAATAAGCAACCTTTTTCCTCAAGGGCCAATTCAGATAAATGTTTAAATAATGATAGGATATGAGTGTTTTAAATAAAAATTAAAATATCATGTGTTTCATGGAGGAAAGCACATAGCCTTATAAATTTCTTTACTTAGCCATTAAAATCTTAATATCTAGGCTCATCTAAAGACAACTTTTAGGTCAGGCACAGTGGTTCACGCCTATGATCCTAACACCTTGGGAGGCTGAGGTGGGAGGATTGCTTGAGCCCAAGAGTTTGAGAAGAACTAGACAACACAGTGAGACTACATCCTTACAAAAAATTTTTAAAAATTATATGAGTGTGGTGGTCTACACCTGTATTCCCAGCTACTTGGGAGGCTGAGGTGGGAGGATCACCTG